TAAACTTTACGGCAATCCGATCCGAATGATTACGTTTCGTTAACAGTCACAGGTTTCTTTTTATGTGCTATGATCCCAAATACTTTTCAGGTTAAATGCTGATAAAGTAGACAAATTTCTAACAAATATTCATTTCTGATGGCTTTATATTGAAAGGCATAAATTTCAGTATGAAAACTTAAAATAATTACGGGTTGAATAATTAACTTCGTAGAAACGTGCCACACACTTTATTTTGAAATATTTTGTATGTGGTGCGGAAAATACAATCCGGTCTCACGCATAAATGTACGATCCAGATGGTCTTTAGTTCCAAATTAGCCTAATGAAATCAATAAAAGTTAAACGGCGAACGATTCAAAAATTCTCGATTGATGTTACTGCATAAAAGAAGCTGAAATTTGCCTCAACTCAATTGTGGGTGTCATTTAGAATATATACCAGAATTACAACATTATTTGGGTGATATTTAAAGTTGTTTTGTTTAATTTCCATTTTTTATTGCATTATACAGCCTTATTCAACGCGTAGAGATCAAATGAATGGTGAACTGAAAGCCAGGGAAGCATGCGGCTTTATTGGATCCCATCATCAATGCGAATTCAGGCATCGACTGGAATCGAACCTGGCACCTCACAGGCAGAACGCGAGCGCACTACCAACTCGACCGTTGTTTTTTCTCTTTTAAATATACACGATATAGTAGAACTCATCATTGGGTGCTTGTTTCCGGCATCACATTTAGCTCATCTCAGCAACTGACTCTGAGATTATAATTTGATTGAAGACATTTTAAACCGGATTGTTTGTTGCAGGATAGTGTTGGAGGATTTGATTCGAAAATATAGTACAGAGTTCGTGTGTGTATCAAATCACCATTATCTGAGTATTTAATGCCTAAATAGTTTACTGTTATTTTGTTAAAATCTAGTAGCGTTTTACTACAGAGACTCAAACCGTCAGCCATCAGAATGAAATCTAGAATTCTTATGAAAAACGCGGGGGACTGTCTAATCGATTCACTAAAATCGCTATATGTTTAGCCCCCTTATTTATCTGAACAGCTGAAAAATAAATTCTGGAGAGAAAGACTGTATTTAATCAAGACATAAAAATAGAAAAGTTAGGCGGTGTCGGCGCGGTCTGGACTCGAGATCTACGAAGGAAAGTGAATGCTTTAAGCCTCAGAAGAAGAAGTTTGCGGGAAAAATTAAAATTCTTTGGTGTACTAGATTATAAATTTGACGACATAAATTGGTATAGTAACTTCATTAACTCTATATGACCGCTATCAAACAAATGTAACTTCAAAGTGCAATTACAAAATGACCCAATCATTTTCTGAATTAGCGCCTTAGATGGGTCCATTTGAGTCCGTGCCTAATCACTCACGTACGCACACGCAGATTCCAGTAGAAAGTTTCACTGATGAAATCCTGTTTGCAAACGCCTTGGTTGATAACTTTAAAAACACGTTTTGCGGTCGTTTCCAGCTTTTTATCCCAATCATACTTTCGACATATTGCCCATTAAATTCAATCTAAAATGCTTCATAAACAAATGTATATAAAGTTCAGAGTTCTTAGAATAGATATCCTATCCGACCGAATTTGCTAACTGATGTGAACGCAAATCGGGGGTGAGCATAGTAAAATGATTTGTGAGCCACAACCAAATATGTTATGACCAGAAAAATTATTTCAAGGTGGCTAAAATATCAAATGCCGGATGCCAAACTTAACATAAATTTATGTTCTCTGGAGATTTCATAGATTTCAGTGTGAAATAATTGCCAAATTGCTTCTCATACTTATTTAGCATTTAGAGAGACCTTTGTATTCGTCAGTTACTAAGTATTAAGAAAAAAGGCAAAGGGTAGGTGTTGCTCATCCTACCATTAGAAATGACAGTTTAAGAACATCGAAAACTAGGAACCTTTACTGACACACAACAATATATCACTATAAAATGGAACTTTTATCTCTAGCCGCTATTTTTACTTCTTTGTTTCTTACGTCCCCAAAGAATTTTAAAATTTTAACACGCATCTTTCGGACCCTGATGCACAGAACTCTTCAAGTTTATACTTAAATATCACTACCGAGTATAAGGACAAATCCATGATTTCTACTTTTGTTTTTTCCCATCGAATCGGTTTGCCGTTCAAACATGTGTTGTTATTATTAAAAGTGCACACAAATATTCCTTCTGTGTTCAAATTGTCGCTTGATGAATTCAGATTCAAGCGACTTTTAGTTGCAATCTATAACTCCAACTAATAACCCTGATGTTTCATCAAAGTAAGTTGCTTAGTTTCATCCTAATCGATCGGAACTCATCGGAATTTTCTGAAACGCCTTTCTGGTTTTTTACGCAACGAAGAATCAACACATTGTAACGTGAGAATAATTAGCTTACCGCGGAATAGTGCTTAAACTTAACGAAACAAGTGTCTTGATCGCTAAATGTTATTGAGATAGTACTAAGAATTCCCCAGGCCCCATCTATCTATGTTTGATCGATCCTGGGTTTATAGCTGCAAGTTAGGACAGATTTTGACGATAAATATGCTTTCTCTAGAAATATGAAAGTATATATATACACTACTGAACAACCAATCAGTAGCTAAAATATTAGCTTGAAATGATGCACCACATTCTGCAGAACAATTATAACAAATTTATACCTTTTCAATTTCAAGTGATTCCGTTGTAACTGCACGTGAATCCGCCGTCACTTCAAGTCAA